GTTCGTGTTGGGTCTGGTCTTTAGATTCATTTCAAAGCAATGGAACATTACAGGGACAATTACAGATAATTGAGATTGTAAGATCGCCAAGATTAAATCCTGGGTATGATACAAAGTGCCTTTTAATGCCACTTTAGCCCTTTTCCATTTGGCAAACCGAACCTCTTGGCTGGCCCTGTAGACTTTTGCAATAACATTGCCCCACATGTGGGCCAAACTTGGAGCTATTTTATGGCTCAAGTCCCCAAAAAAGAGCCTCCAGTGGGGAGACGGCCAAGCCAGTGTTGGGGCCTACCCCTCTCCTCACATGCTTAGGGGTGACTTCAGTGCCCTGTTCCTCTGAGCTAGTTCCCAGGGCATTCTTAACCGGCCATCCTCTCTTCCGTGGCAGCCTTAAGACCTTCTGCCCCATTTCCCAGCCTACCAGCTGTTTCCCTAAGGCTCCGCCTCCTCCTCCTCCTCACCATCACCGTGTCAGCCATTGGTGTGTGGTTAGGATTAGCCGGAGTTCAGTGCATCTCCCTCCGTGATGAGTGATAATGACTGTCCTGTCCTGCCCTCTTCTCTGCAGTTCCAAGTAGTTCTCTGGTTTTGCCTGGTCCCAGGATGACATCATCTTTTCCATCTTGGGTATTAATTTGTGCTTCTCTCTAACTACCTGTGTCTACTAGTTCCTCATGTTTCTTCACCCTGGTAAAGGGTTTCTGTTTATTTAACAGCAGAGGCCAAGAAGAGTGATCTCCTTGTAGCATTTTCACTTTTACCCTAAGCTTAGGCACTATTAACCACACAGTAGACACTACGCTTACATAACCAGAGATGGCCGGAAAGAATGCTGTCCCCCAGGGAAGTACAGGCAAATAAGATTTGCTTGATTTTATGCAATAGTTATGGTAATTAATTTATAGAGTTCCTCATTCCAGCCATTGATGTTTAAAACACAATGTAATTTTCTCTAACATGTGTTCTCATTGTAGAAAATTTCAAATATAATATGACAGAATAGCCTGGTAAACCCACATGATGTCACATCATCATTCAGCTTCCACAACTGTTGAGACCTTATTGATTGTAGCAGGAATCTTAAAAGGTATTATTATTAAGAACGAACCTGAGCCAGGTATTGGGGTGAATGCTGGAAGATCAGAGAAACAGAACAAGCCACAGCCACCTAACCTTGCCAATTCCTCAGCTGATCTTTTTTCCTCAGACTGGAAGCCTCTCAGTCCTCATCCAGAATGAATATCAGCTGAACTGCTGCTAAAAAGCTTAAAAACTTAACCAGGCTAGTTCCTGGTTTTCAAGCCTTATAGAGCTTTCTGCTTTCTGCCATTACCTCCTGGGATTAAAGGCTCTTGTTACCAGGCTGGCTGTTTCCAGTGTGGCCTTGAACTCACAGAGATCCAGGTGGATCTCTGACCCTGGAATGCTAAGATTAAAGGCGTGTGTGCCACCATTTTCTGGCCTCTATGTTTAATATTGTGGCTGTTCTGTTCTCAGACCCCAGATAAGTTTACTAGAGTGCACAATATTTTGGGGAACACAATATATGGCATGTCATTGGTGTCCCACCTCATTTTCACCCATCCCTTACTACTAAACCGGATGTCATTTCTTCATTGGTAGAAGAAGATACAATGAGTGTTCCAAGAATAGGGTCTTCCGTGAAGTACAGCATTGAATCTACAGTCAGACTCACTCCCCTCTTCACAACTAATCATTAGGAGTTGAGTGAGTAGCCCCTCAGACCGGTCCTCTTCTCTGCAAGCATACACACAGAGTTGTGCTTTGTTTTAGTTTAGAAGGAAGGGCAAGACTGCCCTCTTTTCAGTTATAAATATAGGAATATTTCTCTGACAAAGCATAGATGACTTCATTTTAGCAGCTTTAGAGTATTTACCAGGTGGACCGAGGAAGAGGACCAGCCAATCTACTTAGACCAGCCAGTCCAGTGTTTATTTTTTAACCAACTCCCCGGATAGATATGTAGACCCCCTTTATTTTTGTACCATAGGCAGCAGTAGCATCACATTTCCTACTTGTGTGCCTGTCACCTTCTGTAAGATGAGTATACACAAGGAATCGCTAGATCCTGGATCGCTGGAGGAACCAAAAGGAACTTCTCTGAAAATGGCTTCATCTTTGTTGCTGGTGGCTTGATGGGGGACCTGGGCTCAGATGCTTAGGAAGGCAGGCTCGAGGCTCACTCTAGCTGAGCGATGGTGTTCACGTTGATGTCTGAGGAAAACGGAGAACGATGTGCTTGTAGTAATTGCTTTCTGATGCTGTGATAAGATCGCACGACCAAAGTAACTGTGGTGGTTTGAATGAGAACGGCCCCATAGAGTGGTAGATTTGAATGCTTAGTTATCAGGGAGTGGCACTATTTGAAAGGATTAGGAGACAAGGCCTTGTTAGTGGAAGTGTGTCACTGAAGGTTGGCTTTGAGGTTTCTGAAGCCCAAGTCAGAACCAGGTACTTCTCCAGCACCATGTCTGCCTGCATGGCACCATACTCACCACCATGATAACAATGGACTAAACCTCTGAAGCTGTAAGCAAACTCCAATTAAATGCTTTACTTTTACTTTATAAGAGTTGCCATGCTCAAAAAAAAAAAAAAAAAAAAAAAGAAGCCAGGCAATGGTGGCGCACACCTTTAATACCAGCACTTGGGAGGCAGAGCCAGGTGGATCTCTGTGAGTTCGAGGCCAGCCTGGTCTATAGAGCGAGATCCAGGACAGGTACCAAAGCTACACAGAGGAACCCTGTCTCGGGGAAAAAAAAAAAAAAGAGTTGCCATGGTCATGGTATCTCTTCATAGCAATAGAATACTAAGACAGCAACTTATAAAAGAAAGAGTTTATTTTGGCCTTACAGTTTCAGGGGGTTAAAGTCCGTGTCCATCATGGCAAAGAGCATATCAGCAGACAGACAGACAGCTGTATAGTTCTAGAGTCATAGCTGAGAGCTCAGATCTTAGACAGGCACGAGGCAGAGAGCGCTAACTGGGAATGACAGAGCTTTTGAAACTTCAAAGCCCACCCCCAGTGACACACCTCTTAATCCTTCCCAAACAGTTCCATCAGCTGGGGACCAAGTACTCAAACCTACGAGCCTTTGGGGGCCATGCTCATTCAGACTACCCCAATGCTATTCAGAAAATCTAAAGTCACACTACATTTGAATGCTCTACGCAGAGGACCTTCTTGTATAATGGGTATCTCTAAACCCTAAAAGACATGAGCAACCACTGAGAGATTGTTGGTGGGCTCCACACTGGAGCAGAAGGCAGAAGAGGGGTGGACAGGCGGGGGTGTCAGCTGTGTGCACAGGACATTATAATAACAGTAATAATACTTTATATTTGGACAACACTTTATAGTTTACATGGGGCTTTTACATACATTTTCTAATTTAAGCCACACAATTACCCTGCACAAAAAAAAATTTTTTTAAAGCAGAATTTACGTGGGAGGACATTGTAAAGTCTAAAATAACAAAAATGCGGCAATACTGTTAGCCTATACTGGCCAAGACCACTTATGGACCCAACTGTTTAGTAAGATCTAGGAAGGTACAGAAGCAGGCTGGATACACTCACAAGGTTGCTGCCATGGACCATCTCTGCCAGCCATGAGCTGATTCGCGTCTCCCCAGGACAGGGATGTGTCATTGCCAAGCTAGCTCCATGATAGCCACCTAGAGAACTTGTGAATGTGTGGATTCCCTGATCATACCCCCAGAGATTCCAATTCAGTGGGCTGGACATGGAGCCTAGAAATCCTACATCTGAACAGGCTCTGCTGTTGTGTGAACAAACCCGTAACCATTGGTGGAGCGGTCTCTAAGAACTGCAGCTAAAGGGTTTTACTTCAGACTAGACAGGTGGGATTATTTACCGCATGGATCAATGGATCCAGTTTGATAAAGGAAGAATAGCCAATCTAGTTGTTTTGTCAAAAAAAAAAAAAGAAGAAGAAGAAGAAGCTTCTTGCAAATGGAACTTTCAAAGCCTTTAAAAGAATTCGCAGAATTTCACACCAAAAACTGTTGTAAGATATTATGCATCGGAGGAGCATGTTGCTATGGATGAACGTGGTATAGAAATGTTGCTATTTTAAAGAAGATCAAACCCCAAAATCAGAGCCAAAGGACTCTTGGTTAGGACCCAGCCTAACTGTGTCCAAGGGTATGGGTATGACATTTGGCCTCATCCCTCTAAGCTTTACGTTTCTACTCTGAAATAGTGGCTGTGACATCCTCCCTTCTCTTGCTCTGCTATCCCCACCCACCCTTCTCTGGTTCTTGTCTAGTCTGAGCTAGCACCTAGTGTGTGAATGAAATTTCCCTCCTTTTTCAATCTTATCCTGTTCCCAGATAGCTCCTGGAAGCCAGGAGCGGAGGTGGTGGTGGTGGTGGTGGTGGTGGTGGTGGTGGTGGTGGTGGTGGTGGTGTGTGTGTGTGTGTGTGTGTGTGCGCGCGTGCATATGTGTGTGTGTGTCACACACATACATAAAATCATTAGAAATGACTTTATGGAGCAGCTCACAGACAAGCTCTTCCGTTATCCTACAGAAACGGGCACCCTCCACCTGCATCCATACATGCCCTTCCACACCAACTTACGATGTTCTTGTTGCCCTCACCTGAACTAGACAAGCACGTTAGTTGTAAATATGATGCTTGCCCTTGAAGCTGAAATGGGAAAGTAAAAAAATAGAGGAACTGGAAATAAGAAGGAATTGATACTAGCCTGTCATGGAGACTGAGATCTTGAACCTTACACTATCTGTAGGTTAATAGTTGTTTAATCTGGCGAGTGTAAAAATGATGGCAGACTTCTCTCACTTAATGTGTCTGTACGTACACCTTGTCTAAATGCTCTGAAAACATGATATTGAAACCTGTTACTTTACCTCTAACCTGAAAGGTACATATAAAGGCTAAATTAATATTTTGAAATGATACCCATGGTGCCCCTTTCCCATTCCTCTGCAGTGAAAACATTGTTCAATCCGGCTCCCGCCATTGCTGACCTGGACCCACGATTCTACACCCTCTCCAGTGTGTTCTGCTGCAATGAAAGCGAGGTAGAGACAATCGTTTGATTCTTCTACGAAGGGCTTTCCAGCAATCGGATAAAACAAGGAGGCAGGGCCGGGTGGTGGTGGCGCACACCTTTAGTCCCAGCACTCGGGAGGCAGAGCCAGGTGGATCTCTGTAAGTTCGAGGCCAGCCTGGTCTACAGAGTGAGATCCAGGACAAGCACCAAAACTACAGAGAGAAACCTTGTCTTGGGGAGGGAAAGAGAGAGAGAAAGAAAAGAAAAGAAAAGAAAAGAAAAGAAAAGAAAAGAAAAGAAAAGAAAAGAAAAGAAAAGAAAAGAAAAGAAAAGGAAACAAGGAGGCAGGACTAACTGCATCAGTCTGAGCACATGGGAACTCAGTTCATTGGGGTGTGGAGGTCAGGAATTAACAAGCTTTGGACGGCCATAAAGGATTTGAGACACACCCTTAACCTGACCCTGACTAAACCTGCGCCCATTTTAACACCCTCCCAGCCTCACACTATTGATACATTGTTTTCATTTTAATTACTCCACGTTTTTCTGGACTAATATTAAATTAATATTAATTAATATTAAAGTTGCCAAGTTGAACAAATAAAAATACAGGCTGTCCAGTTACATTTGGATCTCAAGTAATCAATTAACAGACATACAAAACTATTTGTCGTTTTTTCTGAATATCAAATTTCACTGAGCTTTTGTATTTTATCTGACAGCTGTAATTAGTCCATGACTCCCGGAGTGGCTGCTACCTTCTAGTGCACAGACCGTGTGACAGCAGTGGTGGAGAGGCAGGTCCCCACTGAGGGTGCTGTCTAAGGGAGAGTCTCATCCAAGGGCCGCACTGTCCACAACCGCTCAACATACCTGTCGGCGTAGTGACGTAATCTACTCTTTTATGAGACTCCTAGGGAAGAGATCTCAATCAATCACAGTTTTTATAGAAAGACCGCCTTAGGCCAGAACTCTCTCTCATCTTTGAGATGCAGAACCTCTTAGGCATTTTGGCAAATGTACCAGGCACTGAGAGAGAGAGGGATTGATGAGAGATAAAGGATCTTTTGGCTCTAAAGCTAAATGAAGGTCTAGGCGCTCTTAACCTGTTCTCTTGAAAATGTCATCTGTCAGGACACACAGGACAAAGAAAGCTGCTACATGGAAACTAACTCTCACAAACCACAGTAGGTTATGCAACATTTTTGAGCAACCACCATGGCAAGGCATTGGGCTAGGAGAAAAGGATTGTGGGAGATGGTGACCATTGCACAATAAGAGGTTACATTACTCTCAACCACCAAACTGGCTTAGATTTCCCTGGTAGATGCTTAAAAGACACTGTGTTTATTCTTCAGTTTTCACAGCCCAGATTGTTTATTCAGCTGATGTATCTTCTCCATTAAGTTACGAACTTCATTAAGACACAGCATCTGTCTTATTGTACCCGTCCCTGTCTGTATGCTTACCTATTGCTTTATAATAAACTCCCCAAAGCAACAGTAATCACTGCCACCCCCAGTTCCCATGCATGGGGAATTCAGATAGGGCCCAGCATGGCTTGGCCTTGCTCTGTAGTGCCTGTGGCAAGAGTTGAAATGTCCAAGGCTGAGAGATTCTTCATTCATATGTGTGAGAGCTGATGCTAGTGCTGACTATAGCGTAATAGGAGCTGTTGGCTAGAATACTTACACATGCCTTGTCTTTGTAGCCTGGGCTTCTACACACACACACACACACACACACACACACACAGGTATGAACACACATACACACACATACATACATGGGGTGGAGGGGTTGTTAACAGAGATTTCAAAGGTTTTTTTTTTAATACATTTTTTAAGATTTATTTATTTTATGTATATGAGTACTCTTTCTGCATGTACAACTTTATGTCAAAAGAGGGCATCAGATCCCACTATAGATGGTTGTGAGCCACCATGTGGTTGCTGGGAATTGAACTCAGGACTTCTGGAAGAGCAGCCAGTGCTCTTAACCACTGAGCCATCCCTCCAGCCCCAATTTAAAGTTTTTTGGAATATATCAGTGAGTGTCTCTGAAAATAGATCAGTGAATTTAGCAGACAGAACTGGTCCTGGGAAAACAGATCAATACAAAACTTATTCTTTAAGATAATGGCCTTGGAGTTGAAGAGATGGCTCATCAGTTAAAAGCACTGGCTGCAAAAAAAATAAAAAAATAAAAAATAAAAATAAAGTAAAAATAAAAGCCCTGGCTGCTCTTCCAGAGGACCTGGGTTCAATTCCCAGTACCCACATGGCAGCTCATAACTGCCTATATCTTTAGCTCCAGGGGATCTGACACCCTCACACAGGCATGCAAAACATCAGTGCATATAAAATAAAAATAAATCATTTTTAAAAAGATAATGGCCTCAGGTTCTGTTCTCAGCACCCACATGTTAGCTCAACCATCTTTAACTCAAGATCCAGGGGATTCAATATCTTCATCAGGCCTTCTCAGGCTCCTGCACACACGTACACAGACACACACTCAGGCACACACACACACACACACACACACACACACACACACACACACGTAAAAACTAAGAAAATACATAAATACAGATTGAAAAACGGTCTCAGAGTACAACCAATCCAGACTGAAAAGAAACATACAGAAGACAGGAAGAGAAGATAGATGGCTAAGTTCAGGAAACCTTTGCTGTTGGGATCACAGACGCTCAGAATGAGCACACACTTGCGGGATGGTTTTTATACAACAAAAGGATTCATCTGGGCATGCTCAGAGCATATAAAGGTGAAATGTAGTCTCGTTCTTAGGAATATATATCATATGATTCCTGTAATACAGAAAAGACATAATTTGGTTATATACTTTAAAAGATTTTTATACATCGTATGTGTGTGTACGTGCCTGCTCATATGCCATGACATGTACAGAAGTTTCAGGGGAGTCAATATTCTCCTTCTACCAGGTGAGTCCTGGGAACTGAACTCAGGTCATGGGGCTCAGTGGCAAGTGCCTTTACACCCTGAGCAATCTCGGCAGCCAAGGTGCATACTTTGGCTTTCATATAACAAATGGGTTTAATTTGGGATATTCACAGCAACTACAAGCAGGGCATCCATACCATCTTGTATAGGTATGGTTAAACTATAACATGGAAAAGAGAATTTAGTTATATACACTGAGTCAAAAAGTACCATATAATTCCTCCAGTGCTTTTTAACAACCTGTGTCACTAGCAAAGAAGCACCCTGGAGATGCCAGAGGAGCGCCTCTCAGCCCTGTTTTAGCCCAAGATGCTTTTCTGTTCCAGGAGAAACACTGATCCTGCCCAGGTCCTCCTCACTTATTGTATGTGATTTAAGGAAGGTCATAGCGGCAGTGAGAAGCAGAGGGCTCTTCTGCTTCCAGTTTATCTAGCAGAGGCAGACAGACAAAATCGAGTAGTCTGCAGCATCATGAGAAAGACACCAGGCCAGGAGAGGCCTGGGGAATGGCATCCTTAAGTGCCATGTTTACAGATGTGGCATCTATGGTGTCACTGGGGAACGGCATCCTTAGGTATTTTAGGTGTTTTACCTGCATAGATGTAAAGACCTTCTGGTGCCTGTGAAGGTCAGATGAGGGGGTTGGATCCTCTGGAACTGGAGTTACAGGGAATTGCAGGCCACCATGAGGATGCTGGGAACTAAACCTCAGACCTCGGCCAGCACAAGTGCGCTTAACCACTGAGCCATCTCTCCAACCCCCAGGAATGTTTGGTTTGGTTTGGGCTTTTTGTTTTCATGTGGATTTTGTTTGTTATCATCTGTCACTTTGTAATACAGGCTGGCTTGAACTCACTGTGGCCATTAATATCCTCCTATCTTGGCCTCCCAAATACAGAGATAAGCATGAAACCACACCATGCCCATTCTAAGAGTATCTCAAATAACTAATTTTTGTTTTCATTATTTTTGTTTCTTTCTCTTTCTTTCTTTCTTTCTTTCTTTCTTTCTTTCTTTCTTTCTTTCTTTCTTTCTTTCTTTCTCTCTCTCTCTCTCTCTCTCTCTCTCTCTCTCTCTCTCTTTCTTTCTTTCTTTCTTTCTTTCTTGAAACAGGGTCTCACTTTGTAGCTCTGGCTGTCCTAGAACTCACTCTGTAGACCAGGCTGGCCTCGAACTCACAGAGATCAGGCTGGCCTCAAACTCACAGAGATCCGCCCACCTCTGCATCCCCTGGGATTAAAGGTGCACGCTACTACCGCCCGGTTTACTTTAGTTCTTTCTTTACTTTTCTGCACCAGTACCCTCCGAGGTTCCCATTGCTTTGATCATTGTGAAAAACGGGGGAGTCACATTTCTAAAAGGACAGAGCCGCGACAGATCTCCATGGCTTTATTCTCACCACGGTTTCTTTCCTCGTGTATTCCAGGCTGAGATTTTAACGGGCCTCGTGGTGAACAGCCCAACTGAGGCTGGGAAGGCTGCGTTGGTTCTCCTAGAACGGGGCTGCCAGGTCGTGGTCATCACCTTAGGGGCTTCAGGATGTGTGACACTGTCACAGGCGGAACCTGTACCAAAGCACATCCCCACAGAAGCAGTCAAGGCTGTGGATACCACGGTAGGTTTCCAACTTTAAGAATCCTTTTTGCTCTAGATCATTTTTAGCACTTGAAAATCATCTAATAACAAAGATGCCCTGTCTGAAGATTGAGATGACGAGGTAAGACCTAGGAGTGGTGTGATAGAAGGCAGCCAGGCAGGAGAGCCATTTCTTAGTCCCCTGTAAGTCACTGGGAGACTTCATGTCACCAACCCTCTCTGAGCCTCCGTTTCCCTATCCATAAAATACTGCTGTATTTCCTATAGACATTCATTCAGTAATATAGTATATAGTAATAAATATGTGCTGACCACCCGTTAGGTGCGGCCATGCTGCGGATGCTAGGGGCACGTGAGGAAGAAAGCCGGAGCTAAAAATGGCAGCAGTGAGCACAGCCGTCTCTGGCTTTCAGACCATACACAGAGCTGATTGTGCCTCCCCACCCCCCACTCCCCACTTTCTAGTTTTACACCTTGAGATTTCCCTTGTGGGTGGACCCACATGTCTTATGAGCCTCTTGGTGGCAGGAATGACAAAGCTCACTGGTTGACAAGGCTCCCTGGTGAACAAGGCTCCCTGGTGAACAGGGCTCACCAGTTGACATTCTTTGCTTTGTTTTCTGTTGTTTGGTCTTTAGTTTAGGGAGTAACAGGTTTCATTGCAGCATCTTCACACAGTGTTTCCCACAGTCGCATGACACTTGGTCCTCAGAACTCTCTCCACACACACTCCCTTCTTCCTCTCCACACTTCCTCCTTCCGTTTGCTTTCTTACTGCACATGTTCTATTGCTCTACTTCCCACCTCCCCGAGCGTCTCTTCCTCCTTCTCACTGTCTGCTTTCTAGTTACACACACACACACATACACACACACACACACACACACACACACACACACACACACAGAGTTTTATAGTTGGGGTCTGCATTTAAGAGAAAACATGGCTCTTGTCTTTCGGAGTCTGGCTTATTTTGCTTAACATCGTGATCTCCAGTTCTCTCCCTTTATTTCCCTGCAGCTGTCATGACTTCATCCTTCTTTCTGACACTATAATGTTCCATTGTGTGCACACACCACATTTCCTCCGTCTAGTATCTGTTCTGTACCTGACTAACTTGAATACTGCAGCAAGAAACACGGGTGGGCAAGTACAGAGATCCTTCTTTTAGCCAACAGATGATAAGAGCTAACACTGCAGGCTCCTGTGTCTCCTGCATGTATCGCATGGAATCCTTGCAAAAATGATAGGAAGCAGGTGTGCTGCCGTCCTCATTTCACCTTCTAGAAAGTAACAGAAAGTGGGTTTGTGTGCCCCTCCCAGGTGCTTTTGCAAGAAAGCACTGGGCTCAGAGAAGTACATGAAATAGACAAGTCACAGCTATCATGTGAAATGAGAAAATGACAAGTTGGGCAAAAACGGTTCATGATTACCTAGCTAGGGAAATAAAAATTGTTTAGTGTTAGAATTCAGAAGAGCTAGCCGGGTGGTGGTAGCACATGCCTTTAATCCCAGCACTCGGGAGGCAAAGGCAGGCGGATCTCTGTGAGTTCGAGGCCAGCCTGGTCTACCAAGTGAGTTCCAGGACAGGCTCCAAAACTACACGGAGAAACCCCATCCAAAAAAAAAAAAAAAAAAATTCAGAAGAGCTGACCAGAAAAATATGCATAATTCAGAGATGAGGAATTAGCATTGATAAAAGGGAAAATTTATAAGAAATTTACATACATTTATTTAAAAAATTCATTCTGGTCTGTTTTTGTTAACAATTTAAAAATATAATTACTTTTTCAAAAATGAATCCTGAGAGGGAAACTGGTGAAAGTAGAAATATGAACGTGCTTTGCAAAACATCCCAGCACTCTGGCAGCTGATGCAGAGGAGAACTGTCACCAGTTCGAGGCCAACCTGGACTGCAGTATTAGAGTCCCCATCCCACCCGCTCCTCCCCGAAATGAAAGAAAAACTATATATGAGCGAGAACACTTGCAAATGAAGCTAATGCCCCGGATGCCTTCCGAAGTGCGCTTTCTCAGGCACCTGAGGACTCGGGCTAGGTCTGTTGTCTTCCTACTCCGTCATTTCCAGCACCGTTCGCTCCTCCTTTCTGTTCTGTCAAGAAGGAAGGACCCTAAACTGGGAAGGTTCGTTAGTTCCCTTCTCCATCAGACTAAAATTGCTCCAAGTTTGCATCAAAATGAGAGGAATTTCTTCTTCTCTTGGCAGGTGACATGAAGGGGTCTGGGAGAGGGCAGACCTGTGGGGGTAACGGAAGTGGCTTGCCCCCCCCCCCAGTGTGCCGGCCAAAGCTCTGGTTGGCTGTGTGCAGAAGCACATGTCCGCTGCACACAAGTGGAACTCTGGAGCCTTCTGACTCGCTCTCCCTCACCTCTGTTCTTCCTGTCATGGGCTTTTTGTCATGGGCAATCCCTAAACACTCGGTCCCCACACCAGGTACCTCGCCATGTCCCCATCATGATGAAGGACAAAGAGCTCACCTCAGAGAACAGGGCAGAGGCACTGGTCAAACAAAGGGAAATCACACTCAGGACCACACAAGGGCACTGCTTGGGGTGGCACTATGTTGGGAGATTCAAATGAGTAGTAGTGACTCAATCACTTGAGTTTGGAAGACTGGACTCCTTAGGTCCTGCCAATCATAACCTTGACAATATTAACACAGCACCGTGCGCTGAGAGCTTTCACATCTTGGTGATACTTTGTGTCTTTTATTTGGAGTCGTAGCACTTACTGTTAAGTTTTGGGTTTCAGAAAACTGAATAGTTTGAAGAATAAAGATTCCAACTTCATGTCCCTGTCAGAGTAAAAGGCCTCTTCTCGGTAGAAGTCACCTCGTCAACTGGGCGGAGGGGGGCTCTACAGCTCAAGAGACAGGAGACTCCGCCTGTCTCCTCAGCAGTCGGCCATGACTGAAGCAGGTCAGAAAACTCCTGAGCCTTGAACACCTCACGTCCAAATGGAGCTGCTCTGTTAATGGTACGGACTGGGAAAGGCACTTCAGAGAGAAGTGACCACGGGCTTCCTTCTGGAGCCGGATCTTTGACTCTGATATTTTCGTTTGAGGTCTAGATATTTTCTTTCATTCCTTCAACAATACCAATTCGATTCTGATCACATACCAAAGAAAGAATTTTTTAAAAAGAAATTATATCTCACATGATTTCCATAACAGAATACAGCTGATGTATAACAAGCCAAGTAACACCAAAAACTCCTTGGGATTTGGCTTTCTGTGGAGGAATTCCATGATCCCTTCAGAACAAAGAGTGGAAGATGTCCGGCTCATACGGGAACAGCACCCCACCAAGATCCCGGTGATAATAGAGCGATACAAGGGCGAGAAGCAACTGCCCGTCCTGGACAAAACCAAGTTCCTTGTACCTGATCACGTGAACATGAGCGAGCTCATCAAGATAATTAGAAGGCGCTTACAGCTTAACGCCAATCAAGCCTTCTTCCTCCTGGTGAACGGGCACAGCATGGTGAGTGTGTCCACGCCCATTTCTGAAGTGTACAAGAGTGAGAAGGATGAAGACGGCTTTCTGTACATGGTGTATGCCTCCCAGGAGACATTTGGAACAGCACTGGCTGTGTAAGACTAAAACAATGCCTAATGTTTGTTAAGCCCTTATCAAGGAAAAAAGGGATGTCACCAGCGGATGCTGGTCAGCTCACACTCACAGATCAGAACGTAGGCGCCCACCTAGGGTGTTAGGAACTATTTGTCAGCCAGAAACTGAGCTCCATGCAAGCGCATTCAGCTTGGAAACTCATCTAAACTAGGCTCTCTTGTGTTCAAACTTTAGAAGTTTAAAAATAAAATACTTTGCATCCTAAAAAAAAAAAAAAGAAATTATATCTCAATATATTAGGGATAATATATTAGGAAGACTATGAGTTAGAGACCAGCATGGCCTATATAGCTAGACTCTGTGAGAGACAGAGACCGACGATGAGACAGGGAGACACTGTAACATACCTAGGATGTGTGAATATATCCAGATTGTTTTTCATTGCCTTGCAGAATTTGAAGATGAATTAGTAACTAGTGGATAAAACACTGAGCAAGTGGACTGAGGATTTAGCTTGCCTTGCATATAAGAGGTCCAAAATGACTGATTTAACAATGAATGGAGATTATAATTGTATTGTAAAAATGAAAAGATGAAGTAGGTGTGTATTTGTGTACACATATACCAAATGTTCATCTTCCATATTTGGAAGTTAAGAAATGTTATCTGAAACTGATTTTAAAATGACTGCACAAACCTGTTGCCAGAAAGTCAAGATAAATGACGGAATTAAACTGAAAGAATTTAAAGTATTTCCCTTATATAAATGGAGCAGAGAGGAACGGAACATAGACACATAGCTTCATGTTGTTAGACTATAGTTGCATGGCTTTGATTTGAAGAAAAAAAAAAAAAAAAAACAGGGCTGGAGGGATCCAGGTTCTGTTCCCAGCATCCAAATGGAGGCTCACAACCATCTATAACTCCAGGTCCAGGGAATCTGATATCCTCTTCTGGCCTCCATGGGCACCCAGACACAAGCATGATACACATACATATATACATGCAGGCAAAAAAAACAACCTCATACATAATATAGATATTTCAAAATAACACAGAGACTACTTGAAACCCACTAGAATATCCATAACCAAACCCTCATCATAGTAAGTGTGGTCTAGATTGGAGAAGCTAGAACTCTTGTACATTGGTGGCTCGAGCTTAAGATAAAGCATTCACTTTGGAGAACAGTCTGGAAGCACGTCAAAAAGTTATATATAGGGTCCACAAGTGACCAGCAACGCTAGCTACTTCTAGGTAGCTACCCAAGAGAAATGACAATAGATGTATGCGGATATTCCAGGTAGTGTTCTTCCCAGGCAGCCCAAACTTGGGAATGCCCAGAGTCCACCAGCAGATAAGTGGACAGATGTAGTCTGTCTGTGCAACTGGGTATAGTTGAACACTAAGAGCAATATTGATGCACGCTGTGTGCCCGGCAAGGGCTTCACAGACTCAGCCCCGCCCCAGCCACCCCCTCGTCTTTTCTATGCTGTGTTTTCTTCTCACCCAGCACCCTCTCCACCAATATTCGAGGATGAAATAAGTCCCCTGGTGGGGTGAGGGGTTCCTGGGGTGAGATGCTCCCCTGAGCCAACAGCCCCTTCGCTTCCGGCCAGCAGAACATGACTGGCTGCCGTTGGTTCCCAGGTCCCTCCCTTGTCCCCTCCATCCTCTCAGACATCAGGCACGACACGGGTGGAGGAGAGCGGTTATTGGTCGGCACACTGTCCACTCGAGGCAGCCTCGACGTCGGCGCCGCGGCATGCTGCTATATTCAGTTTTGCCTCGTTAATAGTTGAATATATCACTTCTATTTTTACATCCGCTCTTCCCATTGTGCTGGCATGAGAGGGTGGCGGTAGCTGCAGATGTCCTCTGTTCAGTTTGGGAAGACAGGACAGATGTGTCTCTTTTCCCCTTTTCTACATCTCAGCCTCAGAGCGACAGTGCTCGGGTGTGTTGTATTCAGGAGTCATTGGAAGTGCATTCTGTCTCTCTCTCTCTCTCTCTCTCTCTCTCTCTCTCTCTCTCACACACACACACACACACACACACACACACACACACACACACAGAGCAATACTTAGGGATTTTCATGCTTGTGTGATGAAATGCAACATTATATTGTTGTCATTCGGCCCTGTAAGCTCCGTACGGTCCTTATGTGCTGATTGCCCTTCTTTATGGAAATGTTTAAGTCCTAGAACTGCCCTAACACTGTCATTTCAAGAATGCAGGACACAGCTAAATCTGTTCCTCTGGAATCACTTGCTTTACAGTAATAATACACCATAAACCAGGACAGATAACTACGTCAGGACTCAACAAAAGCCAGGAGCAAAGGGGATGATGCATCTTCCTGCTCTTGCCTGCCATGTCTTCTGTCTGTTCTGAGTCTGGTAGGATTCAGAGTTGCTGATGAGGCTCCCATCACATCCGCCCACCTGCATGGATGTCCCCTGGTGACAAGGCTTAAGAATTTGCTCTAGAGATCGCCCCAGTAGGAAGTACAGAGAGTTTCTGTGACAGTTACCAGAGGAGCACTTCAGTAGGGTGTGATTGCTGACACTTGCTAGGTACCTCCAGGTGGCTTCTTTTGGGTGTATTCTCCCATCCCGGGATCTGGCTTCTACTGTCCAGGCTGTTCTCAAACATAGGTTCCCATTCATCCACCGCTTAGGTACTGTAGGACGGACAGTGCAATCTGAGAGCCAGCATCTGAGGGGTCATTACTCCCGTCTTAGTAGACCTTTCCCCCACCCTGCCCGCTGCACCGTGTGTCCCCCTTCCTGCCACATCACTACGATGGGTGCAAAGTCCAACTGCTAACGCCAGATGTAATTAGAAGCAATGAATGTAGGTCACCGTAAGAGGTGTCGCACAGCCCGGGTGCTCCGCAGCACCGCTTGCTCCTAGCCATAGGGAAGTCTGGGAAGATGGACAGCTCTGCATTATCAACTCGGCCACTGCCCAGACTTCATCTGTCTCCCCACCCCCTTGGGCTTTCCAATCAGCATGTACTGTCATTGGGGGGGGTATGGAAGTGGGGGGTAGGTATGGGGGTTGGCGGTGTGGTTCTGCGCAGTCTTTGAAGATCTCTGTCCAGAAATGGAACCGAATGTTTGGGTGTCCTTCATTGGTGAGCACTTAAGAGCTGGGAGAATAAGATGCTGTGGGTAAAGAATAATAGAATGTTGGATACTGAAGAGGTAACGACAGAGTGATTAAGGCTTACTTTAACTCTGGGTCAGCACGGTTCTCCAAGAGGAGATTTTATTTCCTTCAGATTTTGACCTCGGAAGACTTACTCTGTGGAGACCATAGTCAGTCACAGTCCCATGGCGGCTGGGATGTAGCTGAGCTGAGAGGATTTGCATGGCATGGGTGAGGCCCTGGGTCCAGTGCCTTCGGCAGCTCCTGTGTCCCACTAAGTGTTTGTTCCATTTCTCCTCTGCTTATGAAAGGAGCACATACGTAATGTGCAATGGGGCCTGGGGAGGGCACCAAATGGGGAGGAGGAGGAGGAAAGGCAGGGGCCTGTGATTCTGCCGCCGGGTGAGGACGCTTCCACAGTCCCAACACATAAAATTTCCCTCCAGAGTCATGTCAATAGGCAGGTCTCACAAGAAGAAATGCAAAACAACCAAGAAACCAGAGCATGCTCAGCCTCACACGCCGCCAGAAATATGCCCATTGAACAGCATGGAGAACCACTGCCCATAGGTTGGCAAAAATTAAAAGTAGAGCCAGGTGGTAGTGACGCTCACCTTTAATCCCAGCACCTGGGAGGCAGAGGCAAGTGGATCTCTGTGAGTTCGAAGTCAGCCTGGTCTACAGAGTGAGTTCTAGGACAGCCAGGGCTGTTACACAGAGAAACCCTGTCTCAAAAAAATAAAACAGAAAAAAATTAAAGATAGATCATGTCCATACTCCAGCAGCTCAAAAGCACATCCTGTCATACTTCTAATGGGAACATACATTCTTCCTGTGTATTTTCAGAGGGTGACCCAAGAGTACCAATTAAAATACACTTTCTCTTATACCTACTAAGTCTCCTTCCAGGAGTCTGTGCCACAGGTATGCTCACATACAAACATTTATGCAAGGATGTTTATTTCAACTTTAGATTAACTCAGACTTGAGAAGATGGCATGTCCTCCTCAGTAGAGGAGGTTAAGCAATCACTGTGTCGCGCTGGCTACTGGAAGGTAACTCGCAGCTCTCGTATGTAAATATAGATTTCATGTCTGGAGCAAGTGTGCCAAGCTGTTCTAACCACTGCTCTGGAAGGGAATGGATTGGCGTGGTAATTTCCACTTTCCACTTCATATTCTGAATTATTTGAGATCTTGTCCATAAACCTGTGTTTTTAGGGTATTACTTATTATTTGAGATAAATATTTCTTTGGGGGCATAGCCAAGAGGTTTTTTGCGAGCCAGCCACATCTAGCAATCAAGGTAGGTCCCATCACTGCTCCAGGGCTGCTGGGTGTCGTCATCACAGAGGAGCCCCTGACAGTCAGTTTCCCTTGGCTTCACGATTAACCCCTCAAGCATTCCAAGTCTCCATGTAACCAGCCCGAGCCACCCCTTGACAGGACTTCTGGAAGGGTGCCCTTTGCCACACGAGACCCATAGTGCCTTCTTACTTGGGGCCCTCGGGGGTCCAGTCTAGATATCTCAGTGCACACTTTGACGGGATTTTTTTCTTAATCTTTTTGAAGAAGTAGTTTTCCTCAAACATGTTATCTGATATAGTTCCCCTGGGAAATATCAGGGTAAATTTCAAAGCTTG